TCACTATATTGAAGCTGCAAACATCTGTGTCTTGAATAAGCATCAAGAGGAATTCAAGAACCATGAGCAATCTGACACCAAAGATTTAGAGTTGTCAGAATAAGTCACCTACTGGAGACAGAAGCAGTGTAGGTTTATTTAATTAACGGAAAGGTTTCCCAGAGTTGGCACTGTCTTAACTGTGGTATCATATATGACTGCAGTGGAAATTTTCTTAGGCTTCTCTGCATTGTCTGCATTAAAATAGCTGTCTGATTTTTAGGATATTTCTTTTCAGCAATAAGGTTCTAATGACTTGCCAAATATTCAGATTCTTTCCAAACTGGGAATAAAATGCAGATGCCACTGTTAAAAATTCCTAAAAGGTCTGTGCTGCTCAAGATTAGAAGTGTTGATCAGTCAGGCCACATCAGGATGGGGTTTGGCTGGCAGCATGAGAAGGGTAAAGTAGCAATTTAGAAATATTACTCTAGGTACATTTTCGCCCCACTTTTCCAGTCCGCATCAGGAATAAACTAAGACATTGTTCTGTCAACAAATGTCTATCTGTTTCTATTCTTCCTGTGCTGGTTGTTTGGAGCTTTTGAGGGGGCATTGCAGAACCACAGGAAATTCAGGGTGGAAGTACTCCAGCAAGTTCTTTCATGAGGGTTCTCTCTGGTCAGTTTAATGAGGACTCCAGCATGTAGGATCAGTCAGGTAACCTTGAGATGAAGGGCTGCAAAGATACCTGATATCCATCCTGAATGCTCACAACAGGGCATTTTTTCCATACCCAGAATAATCCAAACTGAGGCTGTTCCACTCACTCAGTTGCTTTTTGTGTTGACTTTGTAAAGAGGCTCTTTTCTGTAGCACTTGTGGTTTTTGTGGTTGCTTTCTTTTTATTTGAAAGTGTTAGAACATATTAAATTCCAACTCTGTCTTGACATCCAATTCCCATTGGAAGCAGGATCTTCTAGCCTATTACTGACCTGCCCTGTAGGGAGAATTTCAGGCACAGTGTAATAAACCAAGGAAAGATCATTTGCCAGTCAGGCAATAGACTCATAAGTTACTCATGCCATGCAGAGAATGAGGTTGTTCTGTGATCCAGTTTGTGATTTTTCTCATTTCTTCAGATACAGCAGACAATGCAGAAAGTGACCATATAACTACATTAGTCAATGAGCCCTCTTTGTTCTCCAAAGTTTGTTGTTAAGGGAACTGAAGACGTAATGCTTTTGTGCTCAAGGGGCAAAAAAATTCTATTAAAGCTGGAGACTTCTTTCTAAGTTCACCAAGGTCCTTTTCTTTTGGTACATGTCTGTTTCCCATAAATGGGCAGGAGGCTTACTGGTTGTATTCACATTTGAAATGATTCTTCATTAAGGGTCGGATGTCTGGTAGTACTTTGTCGTAATGTTTTGTTATTGTTGTTGTGGTTTTGGTGGTGGTTTTTTTACATTTTCATTTTAAACATCTGAGAGTGACCCTCAGGGTTTGGGTGGACTTTCCAGTACCTCTGCACGTATCAGAGAGCATTTCCTTGCCTGACCTGTGTGAAAGGAGTTCTCATGCAAGGCAGCACAGCTTCAATAGGAATATTCTCTTTTGTTCTTCTGATTCTTTAGAGACTATGTTTCCTCTGCCCATCTGCTTTGCTCGGATGTGTTTTTAAAGGGCTCCTTAGCTGGGGAGCTGGTTTTTGTGTGCTTTCATCTCAGGTTGCATTCATTAGCAAGAACCTTTCAAATGCAATTTGGAGTAAGCAGATGAAGCACGGTTTTTCTTGTTTTTCCTGTGTTTCTATGAAGTTTTGTAGCCATGTTGTTTATTTTACAAGTTGTAAATAATTATAAACATATTTATATTATTCAATGCTTAATTCAAATATTCATGTGGCTTTGGTATTAGCCTGGCTTAAATTAATAATTGCTTCAAGATAACTGTTTAACAAGAAGTTAACTTCATGCAAAGAATCAGTGAATCACACAGTGGGGATTCTGGAATACCTTCATTATTACCCAGGATCACCAGCACATTCTCCAGAATATTCAAATAGTGGCAGACTGTGCCTTGTTGCAGTCAGACAAAAGTCTTTATCCAAATTCGCATGGAGCACACTGGAGCACTGAGGGAGTGAGGAGGTCTGCCACATGAGGAAAAGAGGATATCCACTTATGTGAAGGTTTTTACTTGGTGTTTAGATTGGTTGTCCTGAAGTCTAATGAGTTCTACACCCGTAGTAATAATGCACTTTCTGACTTCCACTGGGGAAGAATGAAAAGCAGTAATTTGTCCTTGCTCAGGATGTTCTAGACACTCTTCTAGGATGGGGATTGTTTTGGTTCTTGGGTTCAAGTTTGTTACATGTTCAGCTTTAATGAAGATCTTGACTACCACCTTTCTTATCTTGAATAACGCAAAAAGTTAGCTCCTGGCACTATAAGAAATATCACACGTGACGCTTTGCTTTTGAGAGTTTGCCATTACCACTGCTATCTTTAAACCTACCCAGCACCTGCCTTTTTTTTTCTTTTTTATTTTCATTCTTTTTTCTTTTTTCTTTTTCTTTTTAATGTATCTGTGACCCTGGAACTCATTTAAAGTCTTACATCTGAACACTAACACTGCCAAGAGAGGAAGAGGCAGCAGTTGATAATACTTTGATCTCCAACATCTCCTTCTACTTTATTTTATAATAAAGATGTATTTTTCTCAGTGAAATATATTCTTACTGGCAACTTTGAATCTGAACATTCCAGAAAGGAAATGGTATTTGGTTTTACTTTTGTAATTTTTGCTCATCTCAAACCGTCCTGTAGGACATTTTCGATAGCATATGCCGGCTGTTTATAACATGAAAAGTCAGTTCCTTAAAAATATTTAAAAAATGGACAGTGTCAGGCAGAGAAATATAGATTAAAGTTATTCTATAATCACACATATATTATTTTTATATTTTTAGTTATAAGACAGTCGTATAAGCAGGACAGTAATGCACAGTTGGAATGGCAGCGACAGAAGATATGGCCAGCTTCATTAGTCTTGTGAAGATAAATGGACTTGTTAAGATTTCTATACAGACATATGAAATGTATTGTTACTCAGTACTTTTTTCCAAGCACACTACTGGAGATCTAAAGGATACCTTAGGTAGCATCTATGTGTATATATAAATTCTTAAATAAAATGATGCTGTCCAAGATAACGTCATGTTAAGGCGAAACATACCGGAGAGTTAATTAATAAGCATTCTATTTGTATTTTGTTCAGTATGAATCCCCTGCTAATGTTGACTCATTGGGGACAGAATTTTAATGAAAGTCCCACCCAGAAAGACCTCATATTCTAATTAGAAAACATGTAATGAGAGATGAGACAACGGAGGTAATAATAACCCATAAAATTAAACACAGTTTGTTAGGCCTGTGATTTTTATTCTGTAATTGGATTTTCACCTGTATGAAGCATCATTATCACCATGGCTGACAAGGAGGTTGAAGTCTGCCTTAAAGAGCAGTGGGTAGAGCTGACAGCTCCAGATGAATGACCAAGCAGTTGAATGGATGATTGCTGCTGCTCTCTTCCTGGTGCCCACCCTACTCCTCATTGCACAGCTGCCACCAGGAATTTGTGTGGATGTGGTATTCCTCTGCTAAGCCTGATCTGTATTATCCTTCTCTCATTTTTTTTTAATTTTTTTTTTTTCAATTTAAAGTCTACCTTCAAAGGCAATCTGATTCATCCTACTAAAGAGATTTCAGGCATACGGCAAGAAATTACCCTGCTGACTTAAGTTATCTTTCTATTTGATGTACAAGGTATCAGTAGCGCTTAGCTGATTAGAAGATAATCTCATAGATTTTGACTAAGCAGAAGTCAGATGAATTTCCACTGTGTGGAGCCCACAGGAGGTCCCAGGTTTGCCTGTTCTCACCAGCTGAGCTAACAGGAAACTCCTGAGATGTAGAAACACTTCTGCTAATTTCCAGTTTGCAAGGGACATATTTATGGTCACAGTCTCCTTCCTTTTCTTCACATTTTCCTCATCCAAACAGAAACCAACCTAATGTAGTGTTCAAAATTACTCTGGTGAGGCATTTTTGAGGGTCTTCAACTTAGGATGCCACTTGACTTTCAGGATGGAATTCGATTTACTGATGTGCATCTCAGATGTGTGCATGCATGCTTTACAAGGCGGATCTGTTACAGTGACATTGTGTCTACTTCATTAGATCTCTTACTGCAACGTTTCCATGCCATCACCAAAGTCATGCTTGTGGAGAATCTGGGGAGCTTTATCTCCCAAACTTTTACCACAAGTACTAAAAATGAGGAGGACATGTTTATTTTCAAATAGCCATTCATTTTGAAATGTGTAGTCAGCACTTAATTGTCTTATCACATTTCAGTGGCTTGCTGGTGTCTTTCAGTCCACTTTGCCTTTAGTTGTGTTCCTCATGGTAGGAACACATTCAACACACTTAATGTTCTTAGACTTTTAAACTTCTTTATATTCTCATTTATGGATAAAATAGTGTTTAACTACAACTGTCTTTGCTTATCCAAAAGCACAACATGAAAGTGCATGGAAAAAGCTTGTTTTCCTGTAAAGACTGTTTGATTGAAAATTGCATTTGAGCCCTGATTAGCAACACCCTATGCTTGCTCTTTATGGAAAATGATTTGACAGCATTTGATAGTGTGATGAAATGACTGAGTACATCCATCATAAAGAATCAGTCATGGTCATCTCTCTGCATCAATGTCAAAAACTGAAGGTCCAGAAGACTGGTACGCCACCAGACTTATGGTGATCCTTGCTAATGATTTCTATGCTGTTGATGGTGAAGTTGTAGCACTGCTCTCAACCCAAAATTAGAAAATTTTCTCCTTTAGCAGCTCTAAATTTCTAAAACCCTAAATTTCTTGTCCTAGATTTAGAAAAGTTACTGGCATTGCAGTAAGAATCTGCAAGCTGGTTGTGTGTCTGTTTTAACAGTTATTGTTTCCACTATGACTGAAATAGATAAAGGACAAGCACGAGAAACAGTGGTTCAAAAGGACAACAAGCAGTGGTACAATAGAACATATGGTGCAGATTGTACTAATTACAGGTACTGATTATTACAGGTACTGATTACAGTGTTGGATAGACCAGGACATAAATCATCACTCTGTTTACATGAGTGAAACTGGAGTATCAAGAGTAACATTTACAGAAATATGCAGTAGATCAATCAGTGCATTTAGATAATACTAAATATACATTTATAGGTTACAATTGTTCCATCATTAAGAACTGAAGGGAAAGATATTTTAAGAATAAATGAAGAGAACACAGTTATTTTACCATTGGACAGGGACTTGAAAACTAATGTGTATTTTATTTTGAGATTAAAAGGTCAGTTCATCAAAATTGTGTAATTGGTTTAGGCAGCAGGAGAGCAGACACTCAGACACAGGGCAGACACTCACCTCTCCATCCCACACTGTCCGTTGGAGGGACACAACCACAGTCTTTGAGGTAAAGCAAGTGGCAGCAGTGGAAATCAAGCATGAAATTAAGTCACAAAAGGTCAAACAGAATTCTCTTTTCAGTTGTTGCAGGCAAGTTTTATGGTCCAAGAAACAGGACCCTAACGGCCATTAGCTACATTTTTAAGAGGCAGGCAACTCTCCAAGTACGTTTCTCCCACCAAATCCCAAACAGTGCAATGAAAACAGTACTTATTAAAACAAAGTACTTGAAGTATGTTGTCAGAATGTATATGAATCAAGGGGTAAGGATTCATGGAGAAACTTGGAACACAAATGTTAAATTCCCCTCAGCTGAAGCAGAGGAAGATGATATACAAAAGAAAACTACAAATGGAGAAATGTAAAGTGTATTTACATTACTGGCCAAGGGGAAGCTAACTGGGAGTGATATCCAATATAGGAAATGGTGTATTCTTACAAATAATACCTTGGAGGTTGTTGAATTGATGTGCTTTTTTTGGCAAAGGGTGCTTTGTGGAGCATTGCAAGAAACATGCATCTTTTCAGTTGCTATGCCTTTGTCAGCATAACTTATTCACAAATACATAAATCATTTACCTACACCAACTGAATACACTTGTCAGAACAAAACCCTGCATCATGTGGAAGAGCGCCTATCTTGGAAGATATGTGACATCAGAAAATATATTTACCTGAAGAAAACTGAAGAGTTGGTGTAAGATTGTTATAATTTATATTATATAATATGTTATATATGTTATATATATAATATAATATGTTAAATATGTTATAATTTATATTGATTCTTTGTGAGTAGAAGGTGAATTTTGGAATGCAGATATGCCATTCTCTATTCCCTTTTGCAGTACTTGAGCTTGGCCAGCAGCACCTCCTGTAGTAGCATCCTGTCCAGGGTCACCAAGACATTGTTATGTTGTTTGGTTCTCCAGACATCTTACTGCCTTTTTGAACTGTTTTCTGCCTTTGCATTCTTCCAAGCTTTTGGAAATATCCGAGTGGTGTTTAGTCATGGAAATAGAGCTTCTGCTTGTTTGTAAAACAAATACAGGAATTAAATCCATCCCAAACTCCTCCCATGTGTCTCCTGTCATCCCCTCAGATTTCTATTCCTAAAAAAAGAACTCCTACAGCAGTGCCCTTCCATGTACTTCTTTTAATAATCTGTCACCATGACCCTTTCACTGGGACCTTCTTTTTTTCACTTGAGCTGGCTGACTGTTAAGTGCAAGCACATGTGTTGACTGCACTCTGGCCCTGGTTAATTTTCTTTTCAAGCAAGATTTGGTGCACATTGCTGCTTGTAGGCATTTAAAAGATTTACCTACTCTTGTTTCAATTACTCCCTGATTTCCAGTATGACTGGAAAAAAAGAAACCTCTGAAAAATTGGACAAAAGTTTTCTAGAGCGTGTGTCCAGCATGACTGTCTGTAAGAAACAGGCCACCCTTGTTTAATTGAAATATCCATGGTGTTGAAGTACCACCACTAAATAGCTGACTTACTTTAACTAATTGGAGATAACTAAGATACAGTGCATCTTTTCACTCCAAACATTATAGGCAGTGAAGGACTTAGTATCTCCATGCACTGATGGCTGACTTTTTCCTATTATTTAATAAAATCTCCATGTACAGATAACATTGCTCAGTTAAGTACACATGGTGAGTTAAAACAGAACAGTTAAGGAACACAAGTTCTTCATAATTACAAAATAATTCAAGATTTAAAATTTTAAATCAAAGTGTGCTCTCAACATATTGATTTTTTATAAAATAATAAGAGAAAACAATGTGTTTGTATTTTTTTTTAATCAATTTTCATTCTGTGTTTTGACCTGCTTGGGAAGAACATTTCTTCTTTAGTTAACAGATTTGAAAAAAAATATTCACAGCATAGTAAGAGGTTGTCTGCTTTCATAATATATGAAAGCCTAAGCCATTCTAACTTCTGCAAAATAACATTAGTGGTCAGTAAAATGCTGAATTACAGGATGAAACAGAGCTGGTAAGGTTTCCATGAGAATTTGACTGGCTTCTCTTCTAATTCCCACAGTTTGATTCAAACTAAAATGTGGTGTTTGACAACTAAAACAATGCCACAGTATAAAAAGAAGCTCTCACTGGAAGAGATGGAAATGACCATGGATATTTTAATGAGGGGTCACGCTTCTATACCAGAGATAATAATCCCCTTTCATGGCTGAGATATCTTTTATTTCATCATGAAAGCTACACTTGAGTATTACATTTGTTCACATTCAGTTACGGGATCCAAGTGTGCAATACTGCTTTGTCATCCCTTGAGCTGTGCTTTGACTCACAATACAAATGTCATACTGGGGATGAGTGACTTGACATTGGCCAGTGATTTCTTGGCTTTTAGAGAAAAAACTTACCCACATGATAGGTCCATCACACTACAAGCCAATTGTGCTCTTTCACTGTCTGTCGTACATAGCAAGACACACAAGAAATAAAATACTGCACAGGACAAGAATTGAAAGAATGATGTTTTCCCTGAGACACTAATAATCTTTTTATTTTTCCACTGTGTATTTCTTTAACTTAATCACTTGTAAACTAACAGATTTATGAATCACCCAGGACAGTTTACTTGTAAATTACCATATATATCAATAATGTCATGATAATATTAGATGCAACAATTTATAACACTAAGTTGCGTAAACTTTCTCAAGTAATTAAGTGCCTGGTTTAAATCCCACTGAAATCAGTAATTTACGTAGTGGATTTCACGAGCTTTGGATCAGTCCTGGTTTACAGTGCTCTCGGTATTCTAGTCCCGGACTTAGCTTCTAGGTAAATATAGGTGCTCCGGATGTAAAATGTACATTGTGTAAGCAAGTAATTTCACCCAAGAGTTTACCCAGATATGTGTACTATTTTTTAAAGTCCACAGTATGAGTTTATTGGGCCACAGAATTTATTAATCTTCATCTAGAAAAAGCATGTCAGAATCAAAAATCCACCATGCAATCATCTGGTTTATAAACTAGAAATCATGAGCAGAAAAAAATGTGCACTGATTGCAATACTTTGAACTGAGACAATGAAGTCAGATATGAATGCAACTGTCAACTTTTGTTCTTTTTTACATTTCAAATAAAATAACTGCATGTAGCTCTGGGAAATGCATGCAGATGTGATCCGTGGTTTCTTCATCAATTTTTCTCACAAGTGTTGTCCCCATTGATGCCAGGGAATTTATTTTTTATTTGAATTGGTGAACCAGATCTAAATTATACCCTTTGTTTATTATATTAAACTCACCTAAATACAATGAGTGAAGATATAAAGCACGTTCTCTGGAAGTATTCTAATTTCATAAACGTGAACAACTACTTCATTTAGTGTAGACTATGAATACAAAATTTTGAGAGTTACTGATTCCAGATAGAGGATTGCACAGATCTTTCAGTGGAAAGGCAGAATACCAAGAAGGAAAAATTCAAATGGAAAAGAAATACCCACTGTAGAATTTGTCTGGTTAAAAATGTCTTTTCAGTTTGTAATTTCAATGGTATCAGTATTGCAGAATCACATCACTGTAACAATCAACAAACCTTAAGTAGCATAAGATAAATACTACTTAAAGACCATTTATCCACGGACAGCTCTGAGGGTGTAAAAAAATGCACTTGCTTTTGATTAGGAATATCATACCAAATTTTAAGGAAAAAAAGGGTGTGAATAAGTAGCAGCATGGTAATTTGAATGGAAGTTAAAACATTTATCACAATATCATCATCTCTACATCTACATATCACATCTAACAAATTTCTTGCAAACTGAAAATCTAGCAATGACCATTACTGAAGACTGGCCCAGATGGAGGTCCTGTTCTTAGCCCCTACATGCACAAAAGATCTTCCCTTTGCTATTTTTTTTGTTCAAAGCTTTCCTTTTCCATTAGGTTGCAATTCTATTCTGAATCCCACATCAATCTGAAAACTTGTTTTGATTTTCTTTACTGTCTTGAAATCTTTGTATCATTCTGACATCAAAACACATTGCAATGTTCTAGGTTGAATGGTTGGTAATGCCTAAGTTGCCTTTGCTATCCAAGCCAGGGCAAAACCAGGTCCCTGGTCAGCCATCTGTAAAACTCCCTTGTGGCTTAAGTCCCATTTTTCCTGCACTGAGAATGAACTGTTCAGCTTCAGATTGGATGTCAGAAGTGAGTTAATATATGTATGTAGCATGGACAGTCAAAGGGTTAGGGCTAAAAGTGAGACAGTTTAGAGATCTCCCCAGAGGTCAGGGAGGCTGGTTAACAAAATGTTTTGGCCTCCCAGTAAAGCCCATGGCAGAATGTCAATATAATAATGCATAGGGCCATACCCTGTCACTTCTTTTTAAAATAAATAAGTACCTATGCACAGTGTAAGGCAGCAGAATAGAGCCCTGGATACTTAATTTCATAGATTTTGCTTTAGGTGTACTTTTTGTTACAAATTTCTTGTAAGAAATCAAGCACATTATGAATTAATCTTGCCTAGAAGTGGGAAGTTTATTAGCAGCCAAAATACCTCCTAGCGTGCTTGCAGCATTGCATCCAGAATGAGCATACACATATAAAGTGTACCAGGAGCCAAGGCATGCATTATCACATTCAAACACAGAAACATCTCTGTTATGCATGATGCATAGATGCAGGTAGTGAGAAAATACAGGACAATTCCTTCTCTGTTAGCACAAAATTGCTTCTTTCCACGTAAAAATGTCTCCCAATTGTGTGTTGTCTTTGTTGCATTGTCATGTGTGTCATGTTAGCACCTGTTAACCATGAAAAGGGATTTACATAACTCTGGAATTATGTTGAAGATGCATAGGTACATTAGCTATTAATTATAAAAGAGGATCCAAAAAGTGCTAAGCAGGGGCTCTGTGCCAGATAGGTTTGGTTTTGTACGAGCTACGGCTTCTGCACAGCCATGAGCTCGCTGCACAGCCCATCCCCTTGCCAGCACCGAGAGCACCATTACCTGTCCTAAGGTCTTGCCACCTTTGAAGAACTAATCAATTGCTCTTATTAAGTTTACTACCAATGTATGAGGGCCTTTACTAGCAAAGCACAAACTCTTGTTTGCAGTAAGTGTTGGAAGTTTCCTTAGGAAAGTGTATTCTGGTTAGAAAAATGGATATTGTATAACAGTATTTTACATAAGTAGGGAGTGCTCTTGCTAAACTCTGGTTCTGATATGGTGGGGTCTGAAGTCCAGAAGGGACCAGCAGGTCAGATCAGGCAGCCTGACATCACAGGTTTTAAATTTCACCCAATATTTCCTAAATAGAGTACATTGACTTAGGCCGGAGTTTTTCAGCCTGATTACTTAATGTGGGGTACTAAACCATTGCCTAACACAAGAGTGGACTCTAACTGAGACACCCGCAAACCCCAAGAGCCTCTCCAAAGGAAGGAATTGATGGGTTGAGCAGTCCCTTGTGGTACAGGGATATATATGTATACAGATATAGAACTTTCAAACTCTCTTAGCACTATGGCTTTGAGGGAATTTCCTTTTAGCCTTCAAATGTAGCATCTCCTTTAGCTCTGTGCATGCAGGGGGAAGAGGAGAAACCAAAAGGATAGGTCACAGTATATGGGAGCTCTGACCTCTGCCAGGGAGCATCCATCCCATCAGCTGCTGTAGGAGGGAGGAAGAAAATGGCAGTAAAAATTCTCTGTGAACAGAAAGAGGAATTGTTTCCTGGCTCCAAGGGCACCGGGAAGGGAAATACAGTTACAGTTGTGAGAACAAGGAAAAAGCAACCCTGAACATAGTTTGATCTGATGGTCCATGAGAAATGCATTGCCAATTCTTTTGAATTGATGGAGGGAGGTGTAAAAGTTTTACAAATTGCCTGTAAGGTTATCAAATGAAACCCTGAGTTGGAAAATTAAAATAAAATAAAATAAAGAAATTAAAAATAAAATAAAAGAAAAAGAATAAAATAGCAAAATAAATTAAAATAAAATAAAACAAAATAAAATAAGTATATTTTTTAGACACTTCATGTTGCCACGAGAACATGTTCCATTTGTTCT